CAACCAGAGGATGAGTCCGCCATTCCCAGGTCTGAGTTTATTTTGTCTCCGCGGCCACCTGGCTGTTCTGCTAGGTGCCCTGAGTGCGCAGCCAGTGGATCAGCTCGTGCACCTTCTTGTTGAGGATGCCCCCGTGCACGCCCCGCCGGCCCATGAGCACCAGAAGCGCGCGCGGCGTGTGGCCCACGCAGACCGCGCGCCCATCCAGCCCCTTGGTGCGCGCGTCCAGCACGCCGTCGCCCTCCGCCAGCAGGTGGTCTCTGATGACGCAGCAGCGGCGGCCCGCCACGCTCAGGCCGGCCTGCAGGAAGGTGCACCGGTCCTGCCCCGTGAGCACACCCACCTCCTGCGGCGAGATGGCGGCCAGCAGTCCCCCGGGCCGCGATGCCCACACACAGCGATTGTCCGAGTGGCCCACGATGGCTACGTCGTCGATGCGCTGGTCCTGCAGCACCGCACTGATGTAGGCTTTCCACTCGCCCATTCTGACTCAGCGTTGGTCCCTCGCCTTGCACTTCGGAGGGTTGCCAGGCTGCTCCGGCCTAAAATGCTGGGGGCACTGTGACGGATGCGAGGGCGGGGTTATGACGCTGACGCTGGCGGTGGAGAATGGGGGCGGGGTTGGACCTGTCACCTGGTGAAGTTCACATTTAGCCTGAAGGAGGAGATTGCATGAGAGTCGAAATAATCCTTGAAAACCAATTTAGATGGCCCATCAAGCACAGTGCACATGGGTTTAAAAACAAAAAGGTGCGCCCGCAGGCGTGCCTCAGTGCTCCAGCGTTGACCTATGAACCAGGAGGTCAGGGTTTGATTCCTGGTCAGGGCACATGCCCCGATTGTGGGCTCCATCCCCAGTAGGGGGCATTCAGGAGGCAGCGGATCAGTGATTCCCTCTCATCATTGATGTTTCTATCTTTCTCTCCCTCTCCCTCTCTGAAATCAATAAAAATATATATATTTTAAAAGATGCCACATCAGCCCTGGCCGGTTTGGCTCAGTGGATAGAGCGTCAGCCTGCGGACTGAAGGGTCCCGGGTTTGATTCCAGTCAAGGGCATGTACCTTGGTTGCGGGCACATCCCCAATGCGGGGTGTGCAGGAGGAAGCTGATCAATGTTTCTGACTCTATCCCTCTCCCTTCCTCTCTGTAAAAAAAATCAATAAAATATTTTTTTAAAAAAAAAAATAAAAAGATGCCACGTCTGGACAGTGGGACCTCTCTGCCTGGTCCCCAGAACATGGTTCTCTAATGTCAGGCACTCCAGAATCGCCTGGAACGCTGTGATACAGACGCTGGGCCCCGACTCAGAGTTTCTGATTCAGTAGTATGGTGTGTACCCTGAAAGTGTGCATTTCTACAAATTCCCTGGCACCGCCGCCGCTGCTGCTGGTCCCAGGTTCGCACTCGGAGACCCACTGCCTAGCAGGGTTGGGGGGAAGTGAGGGACTCCACTCTGGTCGCCAGCCCTAAGGCTCCACACCAGTTTTCAGGTTAAGCATTTCTAACCACGGTTCCCAACCCCGCCGGAACATGTCATCACCGGAGAACTTTTAAAACGTACCACTGCCCATGCTCCATCCCTAGAGACATGGGATTTAATTGCTCTGAGGTGGATCTCGGGCACAGGTTCTGACGTGCAGTCGAGGTTGAGAATTTCTCTGGAAATTTAAAATATTAGTGTTTCATACGAGGAATAATATGTGGAGCCACTCTGCACAGGGCTCAGTACACCGGCTCAGTAAACGTCAGCTGGACAAGAATCTAAATCTCGCAGAAGATCTCAATAGATCCTGTTCTCTAGGTGCGGTGGAGAAGCTGCGCTTACTGGCTTACTGGCTCGGCATTTCCCAGCGGGACCCCCGAAGAGCTGTGCCTCTCAAGCATTTCCAAAGCACTTTATTGAGTGTTTACTCCGTGCCTGGGGCCGGACTGACGGACTGACGGCGCTGGAACACATCCTTGCGGTCCAGGATCGGGCCCAGCCATCCTCCCATTCCAGAACCACCGAGGAGGAAAAGAGGAGCTCCTGGGCGGTCAGGAAGCCATGTGCTCATGGATCCAAGTCAGGTAGTTGGCCACGTCGGTGTACACACCCGGCTTGTTACGGTCGCCACAGCCCGAGCCCCAGCTGATGATGCCTCGAAGGGTGAGCTGACGCCCGTTGTCCTCATCCTCACACACCAACGGACCCCCGGAGTCACCCTGGGTGGAGATACACGGCTCAGCGCCCTTGGCCTGGGGTCTGCATGGGACCGGGTGGGGGTAGGGCGCGAAGCGGGCCAGAAGGCTCACCTGGCACGCGTCGGTGCCCCCCTCGGGAAAACCAGCGCAGAGCATGCCGGGGTAGAAGGCGTTGCCGTGCATCTCAGGATCCGAGCAGTGCTCGTGAGGGATCAGCGGCACCTGCGCCTCCTGCAGAAAGCTGGCGTATTCCTCCGCCCCTGGGAACCAAGGAAGTGTTCACCCCACCACTCCCGACTCTGCTCCCCGCCTGCGCCAGGCTCTTCCAGATCCACTCATCACCTGCCTCCCTCGCAACAGGCCCGGGAGGGAGGCAGCTGCCGGTAACACCTTTCACCGACCAGAAAACAGGCCCGAGGGGAGCGGGATGCGAATGGGCGAATGGGCGGGGCGGAGCAGGCCTTCCCCTTCCCAGCCAGCATCTCAGAACCTCAACTACCCACCCTGTTCGAGCGCAGGCCCGTGTCCTAATTAGCCTTGCAGCCCAGTGCCCAGTGGGACCCAAGAGGAAGTGTGATGCTCCCTGTGCTCCTCGGGAGCTTGGGGGCCCCCAACAGTGGATCCCAGGCCCGGGGAGGGGTGGCTGCAGAGACAGGGCCCTGCACGTCCTCACAGCCCAGCAGGTCAGCGCCTCCCGTCCCTGGTGATGCCAAAGCTGCGGGCTTGTCTTGCCCACCCCGGTGCCAGAGGTCTCCCTCCCGCCCCCAGCGGTTCTGCCTACCCTCGAATTGGTGGCCCCAGCCGGCTACCTCGC